GAGGAGGGAGAGGAGATGGTGGTGGTGGTAGTGGTGATAGTTGGTGGTGGCAGGGCTGCGCGACTGGTCCTTTGCCCCTCTCACCCAGGCATGGTCAGATCGCAGCTCCCCATCTCCCTCCTGAGAAAAGCCCACTGCCCTCGGACAACCGCATGCCGCGTCCCCCGCTGCCGACGGACGGCTCCGGGAGGGCTCCTCGCCTCCTCTTCCTCCCTGCCGCCGCCGCTGCTCCTCTTCCTCAGCCCCGAGCCGCGGCACAGATGCCTGCACCGCTGTCTTAGTCTCCTCTTTCTTCTCTCCCCCCTCCGCTCTAACTGGATAGACGCTGCTGCAAGGCTCCCGGAGCGCTGCTGAGGATGCTGAAGAGGAGGAGGAGGAAGAGGAAGAGGAGGAGGAGGCTGCCGGGGCCGCCGCCGCTGCTGGTGACAATGGGCTGCGGCTGCCGCCGCTGCTGCCGCCGGGCGCGGTGTCCCCGGGCGCACGGGGCGGAACTGCCTGGCTGGGGGCCCCTGATGGGCACAGGCATCTTGGGCCCCTGGGCTAAGTTGCCGCCATCTTCGTCCTGGAGAAACACTTTTTTGGGGGGAGCTCTGCCTTTTGCGTCATCTCCTCCCGCGCCGAGATCTCTCTATCCTGGCGCATTGGCGGCAGCAGCCACTCTGTCTCCTCCTGCCTGAGGAGGAGGGGGAGGTGGGAGAGGCACTGGGGACCACATGGCCCCTCCAAAGGGCTTCATCGGTGCAACTCTTTCTACTCATCTCCCCGAAGGGACTGCTCGGTACCACTCTACACCCCTCTCTCCTTCCCATTGTGGCCATGGAACACCATGTCCATGTAGGATAGTGGCTAGAGAGGTCTGTTGCCGTGTATGTCCTTGTCATAGCAAATCACAAATGGCATATTAAACTCCGGGCTCTGCATCCTGGCCGGTTATGGCCACATAGTAAAATGCCTGATCACAGCTGCCTGACTTTCAGTCAGCAAGTTGTAAAGGAAAATGACCATAAACTCCAAGCTGTTCCCCCAGGAGAAGATTTGGAGAACCCTGGTCCAGCACATGAGCTGGGTAAATACTACCAGTCTGTGTGTGTCCCAGTTTAGATGTCAGTGCCTAGAGAGAAAGACAGAAAGGTCAGGCTTAGCTCTCCTGCTAGGGTGATGAATCGCTGATGATTTCCACTTGGACCCACAGCAGAGATCAACCACCTTCTGTCCTTTCTCTGTCCTGAGAAACTGTTAATGGCCCTTGAACAAGGTGTACAATGTATCCCAAAAGGTGACTTGTCACATTTTTTGGTTGAAAAAAGATTTTTTTTCTTAACAAACATGACCATGTATAAGCTGATATAGCTTGGTGATGATTCTCAAATTCAGCTTTGAAAGGTGTAGTGGAAAGAAATCTAAAACTAAACCATACCAGAGAAGAACAAAACTTGTGCTGTTTCTGATTGCAGCTGTCATTAACTGAGGGGTGAGCTTACAAAGGATCGTACTGAAATTTCTGTCACTTTGAGCAATAAATCAAGGCTAGTTGTCTTTCAAAAGGAGACAGTATACCTCTAACAGAAGATGCAGACCCAAGGGAGAAATTGCAGAGAGAGGTACTATGCCCTGTGTTATGCTGGGGTCAAAGTACGTTATCATAATGGTCTCATCTGGCCTTAAAAGATCTTTGAGTCAAATACTACACTGAGCAGGAGTTATCTGTTGATTTTATTTTGATAGGCTATTTAAAGACACAGAAATAAGTGCTAATATTATAAGGAAAGGTCTACAGTACTCAAATCAGAATGCATCTTTGCAATTCTTATTCACACCATCTGCTAATGGTACATTATTAATTTTGGTCTTGAAGCTTTGATTGCAATGATTTGACACACTGGACCCCGTACTGAATCTGCATTTTTGTAATACTTTCTGTTCCAGGATGATACTGTGACCAAGCTTTTAAAAGGGAATCAGAACAACTTTACATCTCTAAAAAGTAATGTCATTTATTTAATTTCCTTTTGCTAGTTTGATTATGTATTTTGTGGTAGAATAAAGGGACTGCAAAAGAAATACAGGACAAAAAAAACCCCTAAACCAAACCAAACACAACTGGGATAAGCAACAGGTTCCTGATATCAGGTTTGAGATTTTCAAAATGTGCTCTGTTAAGATATGTGGCAGTGGCTGCATAATTATTCTGTGTATGACAGCCAAACTTCGGGTGAAGAAAATTGGCATTGGGGTCTGCACCTGGCAAACAGGGTTAATTTATGTACTTTTTTTTTTTAATATTGTTTCCCTTTTGTCCTGTTGGGAACATGAGAGGTTAATAGGCAATTTTACAATCCACAAAAAAATGAGAAAAGTTCTTTATCTCCACAGTGGAACTTCAAGGGTTGGAAATGAAAACATTCTGGTATTCAGACCTCATCCGAAACTTAATACACAAATGAATTCCTAAGTCTGTGTTCCTCTGTTTACACTTGTCTAAGATCAAAGTACATAAACAATATGCTAGGATTGTTTAGATACACTTGGCTTCTCAAAAATAATCCATTTTCATGTCATGTAATATTTTCACACATTTCCCAACTTTTGCCTGGAAAAACAGTGAGAGTTCTTTTTCAACACTAGCAATAAACTATAATAAGACATTCAGTATTTTTGAAATGTACGCATCCTTGCTTTTCCAGTGGCAGTTTTCTGTTACAAAGAATGTGTCACACAGAACTGTTGTTTTGTCTGTTGTGTTTCCCCTAAAGCCCCATTCCCTCTCCACCTAGCATGGTGAATAACTTGCAATGTTAGCTGCAGTAGCTGGTTCCTGATGGATATGAACAGATGCAGTTCAGTTCTCTGGTGCCCCTTAGTGTTAGGTCTTGGAGCTCAAGGGAAAAAATAAGGCTATAAAATAATATCTCAAAATCAAGAAGCTGCACGTGGTGGAGGAAAGAATCTGAAGCTGCTTTCCTTTTACTTTTTTCTTTTTCTTTTTACTGTAGCTGCTTTCTCTCTCAAAGTTCCTTCAATATTTTTTTATCATAAATCTGATGTAAATAATGGCCTTTTATTTAAAATGGCTTAATGAATTATATGAACGTGAAGAAAAGGGAAAAACCTTCCTCAAAAATACCATTACAAAAGTATGTACCTGTATTCATCATTCTTCTTAAATAACTCTAGTGGTGCAAAATACTCATTTCACTTTGAAATTTCACTTTTTACTGGGAATATTTATTACTCCAAAGCTTGGCAAGTGTGAGGAACTCATGGAAGTCTGTCTCTCTAGCTGGTGGAGTCACCAGATGTTTCACAGATGGATCTCCTTAAAGTAATGCAGTTCAGTGTCAGCTCTGCTGTATTGTCCTTTAATCAATACAATCAGAGCTGATGTTCTATAATTGTTTGACTCATAATATGTAAGATAGATGATTTATCAAGCAGTGAGGACAAAGTCCAATAGAATGAACATGCACAAACTCAAGATACTTGAAGCTATTGTTTCACCTGCATACCATGTGTTTTCTTTGTGAAAATACTTTAGCTTAACAAGCAGAAATATTTGACATAACATTTTAATGGTAATAAACTTGTCAGAATAGAAGGTTTTGCTGTTTCAAAGTAAATGTTCCTAAATTTCTACCTAATACCATGCATACAGTAATTTTCTGCATTACTGACTCACATTGATTGTTGATTACACAATTGTAATATCTAAAGAGCTGTATGTAGGTCTTTCAGATGATTTTAACTGGTTTGAGAGCCACATCTTGTCTCTGTAATGTATATTCTTTATACAAGAAAAAACTTACCTTGTAATTGCTAAGCATAATTTCTTTTTGTAAAAAAAACAAGCTATTTTTAAAAGAGTAGATTTCATTTTAATTTTGGGTTGACTGGTTCTACTGATAGTAGCAATAGTTGCAACAATTATTAACAGAAATACTCAGTTAAACCCTTGCACTGGAGGCTCATCCAGCACTTTTAATACCAAGCTATCATTGTCAGGCCCTTTATTAGTTCCTCTTAATAATTCTTTAAAAGGTTAAACAATTTGTATTCTATAGGAATATCTATACAGTCTTCATAGGCAAAAAGATATGTCAAGTATGTGGTTTATCATCCTCACAGTTGTTTTTTTTTATTTATTTTGATTTCTTACAACAAAGTTTGGGTATTATATTGCTCATTACCTGGGAGGGGAGTCAGAGCTTTAATTGTCTGAATCCATTTGATAATATCCATGAGGGTTGTAAGACACAAAGAAGTTAAGGGCACTGTAGAATTCATTTTATTTCTCATCACATTCCTAATGTTTTAGATTCCTATTCAGTATTTTTTGCAAAGCTGAATTACTGTGAGAAAGCTTCAGGCATCTGGGCCTGATTGCCCCAAAGCAATGGGAAATTCATGTTAATGTTATCAGGCGCAGAAGCTCCTAATCCCTGTTCGAACTGCACTAATTCAGATTTTAAGATTCATGCATGCTCTTTTTTCCTACTTTCCACATTGCCTTCAATTTTGCCCCTTTGGCTTGATTTGTTTCATCTTTTCTTACCGAATTAGAGGATTAACTATCACCCAGTAAGTTATAAAAGTTTGTCAGACTGGATTTTAGAAGGTTGTGCACTACAAACTTCAAAGATAGTGATGTTGTTAAGTTGATTGAATTATCTTGCAGATGTTTGCTCGGTATCCCATGAGACTTCTTCCTAGAAAATGAGAACATATTTTTGTTTGTTGACATTGTCAGCCATGGAACAATGAATGGATAACATAGGGAGTCCAATAATTTCTCTCCAAAAATTGTAGGTATCTTTATCATGACATCTTTATAATGAGAGCTCAGTCATAATATTACATCCAGCTGGTATATTTGGGCATGAGCTGAAATGAACTGAGGCTATTCTTCATTAACTGAATCCATCAAACAAATGAAATATAACTTTTGCAGATGTCTGCAGCAGGAAAAAGATAATATAAATGTCTTGCACAAATTAGCCTATGTCTGTTAAAAGAAGGTCTGATCCATGGCATGCTGAGATCAGGGAAAAGATTGCAATGGGTTTTTAACCAGGCTTGTAGAAAGGAAATAAGCAGAAGAATAAAGATTCACCCCATATGGCAATGGGAGAAAAGGGATTGAAAGCACCACCAAAAGGTAGATTACAGCTTTTGAAATTATTTTTTTTTCCTATTTTCCCTCTCTGACTAATTGTAAACATTTCCTGTTTTCTAATAAGTGTTGTAGCCTGATTATGTGGTTAAGTTTTTACAGACATCAAAGACATCTTTTTAATCTTTTCTACTTGGTTGTCTTGTAGGTGTCCTAGCCCTTCCTTGTGTCAAAATTCATCTCACAGGAAAAAGAAAATACTTGATTTTTCTCAGAAATACTTTTTTATAATATTTTTTTAAAATATGTGTGCACTATGTAAAAAATCTTAGGTTTTGCTTGATCAATCAAATAGTTTTTATTTGCTCTCTCTCAGCCTCACCAAAAGGGAAAAAAAAGTACTTTCAGAGATAACCTCACTCTTTCATTCATAGTCTGGTTTCCTGTT